CATCAATGCTGGTGAATTATTGAAGCTTCGTAGACAGCTAGCAACTTGCTATATTTGAGGCTCACTGGAGGGGTTACCGCCGCACCCAATTTGATATCATTCACTACAATTGCCCCTGATTTTCGTGACTCTGCTCATCACCTGTCTCTTATACACATCTAGATGTGTATAAGAGACAGGTTTGTAAGCGATTGACTACAAAGTAACAGTTGAGATATTGGCGAAAATGAGAGTGCTTGCTTGTGGCACGAGTGAATTTTTTATATAACCAAATATTTGCTTTGAACTTTTGGTTTTTGTACAACTCCAAGAAATCTGGAACCACTGCTAGAATTATATGCAAGATTTCGATGAGGCGATTGTTTATTTAAGTTCAGCGCCACCGTACAAGCTAGAAGAGGATCAATGCTAAACAATAATTCCAAAGGTGCAGTGCACGCTTCTCGTACAACTAGGCATTATGTCTGTTACTCCGATTCTGTATAAAAGAGCTTATCAATTTATTCTACAAACGCCCTGCATAGGCCGCACATGTTGAGCAAATGTAAGACACCAATCGCTCTACCTACGCCTCAAACTTACTGGATCCTAAAATAATGTTCCCGTTATTTCTTTTCATTTATGTTACTATCCGAATTATTATTTCGCACAAATTTTATAACCGTGGTTCTGAAGCTAAGCATGTGCAGTTAATTGGTCGATTTACGTATCTTTATATGTGATTAGGTCTCGTCAAATGCCAAAAAATAATAACAATGGTATAAGTGATTGATGATTTAACTATTGAATCCTCGAAATCTTTCGTGCATCGCTTGACTAAACACATGTGGTATAACTTGTGTTAGCATAGGTCTGTCTCTTATACACATCTACGATCGATAGCGTCTGCTTGCGTTATTTAAGCTTGAGAAAAATAATTTAATTGGACCAACCAGAAACCATTTGCCATTTTAATTACCCAATTCTCCTTGCTTGGAACCGACTACGATTTTTACAATTATGTTGCCAGTTCATCACCACCCCATACTAATTAACTCACCCTTTGACCACCTAATGCCGAGCATGAAAAACGCCCGTTTGCACTCAGTAACCGTCACATGTTCCACCCTGCATAAGCATGATGTTATTTTATGTTATACAAGATTTACGGTGTATACCATGTATGCAAGTATACTGTATTTATAATTTACATAGATTTATGTTGATGCCCCAAGGGTAGATAAGAAATTGAAAATACTAAGAGGAGTTGAAAAACAAGAAATTTTCTGAACCATGCTTGCCATATTTTCATGTTCTCACCGAACTGCTCCTTAATTTTATGTTTCGAACTGCTTCTAAACTTTCTTAATTGCTTTTATTTTGTTTGCCAACTAATGCTTAGCGTTTCTTTATTCTGTTATGCCATATTTTGTCCAAACTGCTACTCCGCTTTTCCAAACTGCTATTCAGAACATTTTCAATCAATTTCTCTATTTTTCTCTAACCTTCCCTCCAACCGAGAGAAGGAGTTCTCTGATATCAGTTGGGTAGGCAAGGGATTGGGGTGAGTGGGAGCTGTAGAAATGGTCTCCAAGATTGACTAACTTGTGAGAGCTGAAGATTTTGTCAATAAGAAGGATTGTCTTACTGGAGCTTTAGAAGCGAGGCTAGGTCCCGCATTCGGCACCAGCTTGGTGCCGAATGTTTGGTAGGTATTTCGGTAGTTACGTAGCAGTCAATATCCTGAGGTTCGTCACTCTCGGATCAAAGGATAGGAGGTCATCGCAATCCCAGCTCTCTCATGACGTGTCTAGATGTAGTATACCTACGTATCTTACACTAACTTTGCCACACCTCGACCTCTAACTCGCGAAGCACCCACAACTAAACCTACCTAACCTTTACTCCTCAAACATGGAAAGGATTCTTATAGAACTGAGATACATATTACACGTAGAACCACCTCGTTTTTTGCTTTTGTGCTGACAGTGCAGTTAAATCGAGGACATCAGAGCCGTTGTCGTCTATCTGCAGTCAGGGACTAAGGCGAGAAAAATCCAGGGCCCATACTTTCAAAAAAGTTAAGAGATTGTAAGTTCTTCAGCCAATAATTGACGGCTTTTCAAGCCAAATCCACAAATCATAGACAAGAAAATAGAGCGTAAGTACTTACGTTCACTTAGAGAGCTTTGAAAGTATGCATGGCCTCTGAAGACGAAGGGGTCTCGAATGGGATGGTGTAGTAGTGNCTTCTGGAAAGTTCTTATCCTTCTGGAAAGTTCTTATCCTTCTGGAAAGTTCTTATCCTTCTGGAAAGTTCTTATCCTTCTGGAAAGTTCTTATCCTTCTGGAAAGTTCTTATCCTTCTGGAAAGTTCTTATCCTTCTGGAAAGTTCTTATCCTTCT